TTTTAACATATATAAATGTGTTACGTGTTAGTTTTTAATATATAAATGTGTTACTGGTTAGTTTTTAATGTATATAAATGTGTTACTGGTTAGTTTTAACATATATAAATGTGTTACGTGTTAGTTTTTAATATATAAATGTGTTACATGTTAGTTTTTAATATATAAATGTGTTACGTGTTAGTTTTTAATGTATATAAATGTGTTACGTGTTAGTTTTTAATGTATATAAATGTGTTACGTGTTAGTTTTTAATGTATATAAATGTGTTACGTGATGGCTAATGACATGGTTCCTAAGATGCGAGTAAAGGCTGTCATAACGGACTTTGAGGATGCAGTACTGTTGCTGTTGCTACTGTTTTTGTAAACAACCAGTAGTGTTTCTACCTCCTAACACGATCTACTAGCCCTAGGATGTAACAGCTAGGTTTGACCCAACACTGTAGTGTGGATGGAGAATTCCGTCGCCTCTATGGAATGGTAGGTGAAATTATCTTTCTTCAAACATCAGCAGTCCCCGAAGCCACGGAATAACCCAAACACGTCGATCCACAAGAAACTACAGAGCTGTTGACATGCTTTGACCAGACCTACGTTAGTGAATCCAACAGATGTCCCTACTTATCACACTTTGCCGTGTGATCACCTGCAACCTTGAACATCCACCAAGCAATGCTTAATGATGAAATGCGGATCAACCATATTTGTAAAGGATTGAATGAAAACTTAGTCAGACACTATTATACATTAGTATGGAATTCCATCCAGTGGTTCCAGCACGAACAAGAAAACACACACACCATGATCCATCAATAAGGAAATACATCCAGTGGTTCCAGCACGTTCAAGAAAACACAGGCACCATCACCCATCAGTAAGGAAATCCATCCAGTGGTTCCAGCACGAACAAGAAACTATGGATACCATCATCCATCAGTAAGGAAATCCATCCAGTGGTTCCAGCACGAACAAGAAAACACACACACCATCATCCATCAATAAGGAAATCCATCCAGTGGTTCCAGCACGAACAAGAAAGGATGGATTTCCTTATTGATGGATGATGGTGTCCATGGTTTCTTGTTCGTGCTGGAACCACTGGATGGATTTCCTTATTGATGGATGATGGCGTGTGTGTCATCCAGAGAAGCCAAAGTTAAGCAATCTTCCAAATAAGCCAGGATTAAGCAGTCATCCAGAGAAGCTAGAGTTAAGCAATTTTCCAAAACTAAGCATACATTTGAATGTCTTCAGCAACGTTTATAACGAGAGTGAAGCGAGATAGACTGCTACAGAGTTCCTGCAAGAAGTTGGCAGGAATATTTGGCAAACATTAGGGGTTTCTGTCATTTTTTTGGTAATAAAAATATAACGTCTTCGTAACATGGATAACTTTATGTTAAAATCAAAACGATTTTAATAAGTGAACTATAAAGGAATAGAAGACACTAAAAATACGAAAGATGGAATATGAATTCCATTACCATTACTTTTAATCTTATTTATTATTACTTTATATTATTTTTTTCCGGTTTCTTTCTTTCCTACGTTCGAGTCAACATTAACAAATACAATTTCAGAGTTCTTTCGATTATTGAAAAACAAACACCTAATGACTGACTATGTCAAAGTAAACTTTGAATTTCTTATATGCCTTTGAAAACTCGTATTTCGTACCCCCCCCTAGTTTTATTTTCTTGTTTTTAAACCATCTGTATAGTAGCACAAACTTTGATCTCTTGTGAAGTCATCTCTGCCGTGTTGGAGAACAGTGAGTCATAGCGCACATGTTTTCAAAACGTTCTGTTGTACAAGTGTTATAGCTGGAGTCCACGTGTTTTTGCTCAGATAGTGTAAATAATCGTACTAAGTAACTTGATATGTCATTGTTAATCATGGTGGGTAAAAAGGCGTTGTTTTGAAGTAGTAACGATCTTTTCGAATGGTTTGAAATTATTGCTTCTTCTGTAATAGAGAATAAGAATGATGCAATTGCATTATGGCTTCAACCCTTTCACAACTTAGAAGTTTGAATATGTCTCTATTTAAATCACAACTTAGAAGTTTAAATATGTCTTTATTTAGCTATATTGACTTATATTTGTCAAAAATTTTAGTACTGTTTTTTCATGTTTAGTCAAACATTTGAATTGAACAGGATGTATCCAGCTGTGAATTATGCTAAATTCTGTCCTTAGGCGGTCACTGATGGTCAAGGCTAGTTGCAGGTGTATATACAGAGAGAAGTTAAGAATTTTAAACTTTACCTGCTGTTTATTTTCAAGTTGTTGTTTGTGTTTCAAAGTGAAACAACTGTGTTACTCTCTTTTATTTTAGGCTTAGTTATGTTCTGCATACATTTCTTGATTAGAAGTGATTAATCCACTCGGTGACTGAAAAGAAACGTGATCTTGTTAACAGTCTTGAAATTAGCACAAATGTATAATTCTAAGAACCAAAAAGTTTAGATAACTTTAAGGAGCTTCTCCCCCCCCCTAGATACTCACTTCCCCCACATACACTTCTCCAGGGACTCACGGACAACGTTACGGTAAAACTGAATTAGAGTAACATATTTTATATATCTGGATGCAGGTTTTGTAAAAACCGTTAAGTATCAAGCTTCTGTTTCCAGTCTAATAACCCTTCTCCGTATTCCAAGATCCATCTTTCTCTGTAACCCTTCTCCGTATTCCAAGATTCATCTTTCTCTGTAACCCTTCTCCGGATTCCAAGATCCATCTTTCTCTGTAACCCATCTCCGTATTCCAAGATCCATCTTTCTCTGTTGTCAACATGTCGTTCCCGTTATATAAAAGAATGAATGAAATCTGTTGTAATTATTTCTTAGATTATGAGGTAAACAGCCTTGTGTATTATAATACCCCATGGCAACAAGTTACACTATCACGTGCGCCAACCAACACTTCCTTCCTTCCTACGAAGAGAGAGCTCGTTGCTTGTGTATTATAATACCCCATGGCAACAAGTTACACTATCACGTGCGC